GCGAATTCGCGTTGGATAACGAGTTCTCCGCTTGGTGCGAACGCACACCGTCTTGGTCCTGCGGAGGTGACGCAGCGGCGGCGGCGGCGACGAAGGCGGCGACGGCGGCGGCGGCGGCGGTGGCGTCTTCCGTAAAAGGACGTGACCACGCGTGACCCTGCCCCTGCCATCTCGCTGCCCACGCCACCGCCGCTGCCACTGCCGCCGCCACTGCCGCCACGGACCGCACACCAACGCACACCCACCGCCAGCCGCCTCACGCGCTCACCATCCTTCGCTACCCATGTGGATCCGACCCTGCCCTGCCACTGTCATACAACCACCGCCAACATCGCCGCTTACCACCGACACCGCCGCGCCAACATCGGCTGCTACTACCCCACCCGTAAATCGCACCACCATCACCGCCACCGCCTCCGCCATCGCCATGCGCCGCCATCGCGCCCGCCAAATGGTTTCTCCTTGTCGCCGCTTGTCGATTTCGCTTCGCTAACCAATCATGCAACCCCACCTCGGCCGCGCGCCGCTGCCACCACACCCCACCCATCAGGCACCACCATACCATCACCACCACCATTACCACCATAATCACCACACCACCACATCTCGGTCTCTGCCGCGCCCGCTTTCGCCTTTGCTAACGCCTATCAGACGGCGCTACGGGTCACCGACACAGCCCTACCGCCCCACCACTACCGCTACACCACCACCGCAACGCCACCGGCCACGTACCGCACACCACCAGCTCACTAAGCACCGGGCGCCACCACTGCTACCACCGCCGCCACCTCCGTCGCCACTACCACCGCCACCGCAACTACCATCGCCGCCGCCACCACCACCACCACGGTCTCTGCAAATACCGCCACCGTCGCTTTCGCCTTCGCTAACTCCACCACCCCGACGTCACTCGGCACCTCTTTCAACGGCCGGCCACTGCGTAGAGAGCGGAGCATGAAGCGTTTTTACGACGCCTAATAAAAGTTTCGCCGGCCCTGCCGAAAAAGTAGAAGCTAGTTGACGCAGTTGTCCATATCGTTTGTTCTCGCTTTTCCCGCTAATGAAAAGTGATGAACTGGCGAGAAAAAAGTAAATGGCCGCAAAGAACGATAATGGGCAGTGAAAATGAATGATGTCTAATATCAATTTAGTGTAAGGAGGACCTAGAAGATAATACTCGTACATATGGCACCGACTTTCAAGAAATCTATGCAGTACACCCGAACGCCTTAGCCGCGTAATCCATGTAAAAGGTCTCACATGATAGTGTACTATTAAGTATAACATAATGTCCTGCTTCCCCGCAATTTTATTGTTAAGTTTGTGATTGTTTCTTAAAAAATCTAATTTGAGAAAAGATCTTGAAAAAGAAGTAAGGAAGTTGTTTCCCCTATCAAAAGAAGTTTTTTTTCTTTTTATATTTATTAAAATTAACTTAACCTTTACCATATCAAGGCCGTGTTGTTCAGGGATCCCAGACCATCTTTGAAGTCCCTGCTAATAAGTAGAAGTTCCATGATTTTTCTATGCCTTCTCAACTTAATCACAATAATATGAAATTGTTTCTTAATTGAAATCTCCAATGGGGTTCTCTCCGACTCTTCCTTGGGTATGTTTTGTGACAGTTTTCGATTATGATTTTATCATACATTCAGTAATGATTGTGCTTCGTCCAATTAACAAACACTGAAACTGAAGAACGATGTTGTAAGTTTTAATACAAATATTTCAAATGAAAATTAATAATAAATAAATCAGTAATCAATACTGGAAAATACTCGCGCGCGTTTCGTGTATGTGTTATTCTGTAACATTATTTCCTGCGACCCCGCAATTTTATCGTTAAGTCGAATAACTTGAGCAAGATAGAAACGGTTTTTTGTATCTATACTTATGATTTAAGGATATTGTTCGGATTGGATATAAGCAGTAAATAAAAAATTAAAATATCGACCTGTTTGCTATGAAGTGGGGTGCTAATTTAACAGCTGATGGTATAATTCGGTAGTTTTCGCGGCGCGCAATTCGATGTTTCGAGTGAATTTGCGTTTAAGGGACTAGTAATTGGAGTGAGTTAGGAGTTTGGGGAATTTTCAAAATACAGCAACATCAGATATGCATCCGTAAATTGATTCCGATTAGTGGCTCTCTTAATTTTGTGTGCCCGAATTAAATTTAGCTTTAAAGAAATTAATTTGTACTTTTCTGTCCATTATAATGAATTATTAATATAGAGGTTTCATTTCCTTCCCACATTTTTTACTAGTTATCCATTTAATTTTATCGTGTTTTCTCTATTTAGTTGCCTGTAGAACGGTGTAAATAATACAAATGTTAACCATGTCGGGAAACTGGCTGTTGGTTTCCGTTGTTCGTCTAGATGGTAACTGTGATAATACTGACGATTGATAGAAGAATAACGAATAGCCCATGGAGGTTGTATTGACATGATTAAACGTTTATAACCTGAAGACTGACGCAAATGGTTTTAGAAGGATTATCGAACATCACTCTCTATTATAGAGTAAAATTGGAAATGGTTTTGCAATCTTGTCTGAAACCTTCTCGTAAATGTTTCTGCACCGTAAAGTTTGAGTTTGTGGATGATTTTTATGCAAAAATCGTACAAACAGCTTTGACGAACGGGGGAGACGTACAATTAGCACACTTTTCTTGTGCTCCATGATCTCTACTCCCCACTTTGACTATACATATTTTAATTATGAATAAAAGGACCTTGTGTGATTGACAATATTTGAAAACTAGAAATTTTCGCTCCCTTATAATAGAAAACGCATTAACTTCATCTAACGAAATAGATTAGAATTTATAGTATTTCTAAAAAGTAATTTTCCCTCTCCTCCTTAATTCTACTACTCAGCACCTAGCAGAGTGCTCAGTTAAGTGTGCATTTAATGAAGTTTTATTTACGACCAGAAGTAAAACAAGACGCCATCTCAGCATTTTCTCAATGGATCAAAGGAAACTGGACGAAAAGCATTACAGCACGCCGCTAACAATTTCCAGCTAACAGTGCAACGAACTCCCAAAGACTAGCACCTAAAGGCGTGCCTGCGCGTTCCGGTATCAGAAAACCCTTAAAGCACTGAAACTTGTGAAAATCGTGTTAAAAAATTGCGCAATTTGTATTCGACTTGTATATTAGTAGGCTAAACAAAACTTATTCACTTGACTTGATAAATAGAGAAGAGAAAACCGAGTAATTTGTAAAATTTACATTGCTGTGCAGAAAGATCTATCACCAAATGCTTTCAAGAAATAGGCTCACAAGTTAAATGATTGTCAAATGATTCTGTAAGGCTCGCAACAACCTAATAAACGCCGAATCTTCCGTGCCCTCCAGTTAATACAACCTGTATTGGTTATAGCAGTATCATCCATAGTAGTAGCAGAGCGTGTATGAGCTGAGATAAAATCTTGAAAAATACTGTTCTTGAATTGATGTTTAAAGAAGCAGCAGAGCTCTTTCCGCTCTGTGAGTAAATATATAAAAATTCCATCTAAAAACGCAATAAAACGATACCAAGAAAAGTGACATCCTTCATATCCGTTTTCAGGTAATTTTGCTTGAAATTCACTCAGATATACCTTTTCTAAACGTGTCTTCCGGATCGTGAATCAGAGAAGAAGGTGGCATGTGCTTGGTACTTCCTACGTGACTACACATTTTGTCCCTCGTGAAGGATACCTACGAGGAGAATCGCGTATCTCGGGAGAGAGATTAAGGACGAGTGCTGTAGTCAAGAGTGTCTCCCCGGCTGCGGTGGTCCACGCGATGTTGGTGAAATTCTCAAAGAAAACGAAAGTACGTGATGCAGCAAAATCAACAAACTATGCACGACTCACGAAAGAGATGACGTGAAAAAATTGCTTCTACAAACGATGCTTATGCGTGGCAATTTCGCTCTTAGTAGTGAACGTTACGTGGGAGAAGTGGAGCGCAAATAAGTGGTAAAGAAGAAAAGAGTTGAAGCATCTGTGCCTAAAGTGTTAACCATTTTACAGCAATCTTTGAATAAACTTAACTTATCATCTCACTTACTGATACACAGTTACTACATACTTTCGTTCATTTTATTTGGCCGGAAATTGATGGAATCGAAATAAAAACATGTAATATTAATATGTAAATAACTTTACGATGCTTTCAGAGATACCGAAAATTATGTTATAGACATTTCTCTTCCGCAGTATCCACTATACTAATGGAGAAGAAGTACACTTCATTTTAAAATAAATTCGTCACCACGATAATGAGTAATTAATTATATTCATGAGTAATTCACGATAATAATTACTCATCGTGGTTACGAATTTATTTTAAAATGAAGTGTACTTGTTCTCCATTAGTATAGTGAATGCTGCGGAAGAGAAATATCTAAAACAATTTTCTGCATCCCCAAGAGAGGGGGGGGGGAACCACCAGTTCGAGAACCTATTACTGATTGTAAACCAAAGCTTGGAATTAAAAAAACAACTTAAATTTATTATTAAATATATTAAATTGTGTTTTGCTTTTCATCAAAATGAAGAATTAATATGCGGGTTTGATTTTGACTCATTTTTGACGGGATTCCCTAGATTCGTTGTATTATTGTTGTGTGAATCCATTATTATGGGTGTAAATAAGTCTTATTTTGTGGATGGCACTCGACAGATGTTAATACATGTTCACGTATGCTATTCTGTCTGTAATTTTCCGTAAAGAGCTATAAGCTCTGATGGAGTAGCGTAATGCTGATGAGTGCCGGGAACTTTTACCCGGGCCCCCTTTATGAAAGTGAGTAGCAGCCACAAGTAGAATCAGTACCTTAAATAATAATTTTAAAAAAACAAAAAACAACTAAAAATAGACCTCGTTTTACGTGGGCATTGCGGGCCTTGCGAACCCGAACGTTACGTATGTATGGATTTGTCTATCATTTGACTATCATTTAATGTTGTAACTGGCTCTAATGCCGTGTGATGTTCTGTTGCAGCTGTGTGGCTGCGGGATGCTGGGCGCGGGCATCTGGCTCCGGCTCAGTTATGCCGGCTACACAGTTTTCACGCCGCAGTTTAGCATGATCAGTGCCGACAGCCTGTTCATTGCAACTGGAGTCATAATGTTTGTGGTAGCCTTCTTTGGTTGCTGTGGTTCCTGGTTCCAGAGCCGATGCATGCTCATCACGGTACGTTATCATATAGTATGCTTACAGCTTGTTAATAAAAACCCTCAGAAGAATTCTTTCAGTCACAATTTTTGGAAACGTGCTGAACATATGAGTTTGGTTCAGGAAATATTTTCATTATAGTTGTTGTGTTAAATTCAACCAAGAAGTTTCATTCAATCAAGAATACTAGAGAAAGCATTATTAAAATGTTTATCAGAAAACAGGATATCATGAGGAATAACTTGGTTAATTAGTTTTACTATTTAATTTTTATAATTAATTGTTATCAGATATTCCTCAAAATTTAATTTCCTTTAAAAAACATATGATCAATGCAAAAGTTTCCACTGAAAACTAAAATAAACCAAATGTCGTGCTTTTCATCAGTATAAACTTGTTCTAAAAATATCATCTGGTACAACCATTTCAGAGCTTTAATTCCCCCCTCCTCAATATCCCGATATCAATTCGTTTAAAAGAGAAATGTGCCTTGTGTAGAACTAGAAAAAATGGAGATCTAAAAAACGTCACTTTTAAGAGACAAAAAACTTGCAAAGCTGTTGGATTTCTTTATGGTTGTTCTCCACCAAACGCCACAAATGTTTTTCTTCTGTTTTTGTTTCACATTTAAAAAAATCTTAATCATATGACAGTGGCAGGATTCTAGTAAACATGGGAGAATACAATCATATTTACCTACTTGTGCTGATAGCCTTTTTGGCTACTTTTGCCTTGGCATTCTTTTCAGCCTGCGCATACGCCGGTGCACAAGAATTTACACAGAAAACATTTTACGGGAATATACTAATTTGTTTTTCAACTATTCATTGCATTGACTTTGGTAAAAACTGTATTCTCGAACAAAACCAAAAATATTCCAAAATTTGAAAAATAATACCAAAAAGATTGAAATATGTTGCTCAACTAAAATATAATATGCATATTTTTTTAAAAAATCTTAATGGATAGGGGCCTCAAAATTTAGTTTGTCCCCTATGTAGTGGGGTTTTAAGAGTCTACACTCAAATGCTCCTGCTTGGAACTATAAAAAGAATTTTAAAAGCTCATTTCCTCCATTCAAATATGCAGAAGTAAGGCACGTACGTAGTATCTACATACATAGTCACAGTTGGGCAAAATACTTTAAATTTAGTATTTAAATACTTCACTAAAATAATTTATAAATAAGTATTTAAATACATACACAAAATACATTAGGACTTTATATACTAAATATATACATATATCAAATACCTCAAATACTCAAAATATTGTAAATATATAATAGTTTTGATTTATTTATTTTTTATTGCAACAGTGTATTGTAATTGTCCATTACAGTAAATTAGTAATTGACAGTCATACAAATTTCTGAACAATAACTATTGTAATATTTTGTAATAACTAATATAATTTCTTTTATAACAACTTATTTTTCGAACAAATCATCAAATAATAAATCCAAAGTTGGCGATTGTATAAAACCTGCAAAGGAAAAGAGTGGTGTGGATGAACATAAACTAGTGTTGTAACAAATAAATGCTCGTTTTTATTGCTGGATAATTGTCCAGTATTTTTAATGATTTAGATTTATCATTTAAAATTGAAAAGAATCAAAATTCAACAGCTGAAATGAGTTTTTATTTTTGTTTCAATGAGTTACATACATTAGCGGAATCAAAGAGAAACTACCCTCATTCTAAACTATTTTCTTCTTCTTCTTTTGTATTTAAAATATTATCAGTATTCCTTTTTTTTTCTTTTCCTACTTTATGTATCTTTAAAATACATGCCCAAAAAACTCAAAAATACAATTTTTTTAAATACAAAATGTACTTAAAATACATATTTTAAATTCAAGTATTTAAATGCTGCCTTACCTGTACATAGTAAAGAAAAAAATGACATTAGTGACTAATTTTTGTAACCATAATAAGAAGTACTCTTTTCACAAAGTCCACCCTATTAACCGATTTTAAACATGTTAAATTTAACATTATAGGATTAAAAAAAGAATTACTGTTACTACTGCTTTCATGAAACTGATGTTAGCCATATGCCATAGTATTGTTATATATACCTGTCTTGATGTAAGTTTCCAAATTAATTTTTAGATGATCAATTTTCTAAATTTCACTTTATTTCATTCATACAAATGTACAAAGGAATAAAGTAAAAGTACGAATGAAATAAAGTGGAATTTATAAAATTGATAGTCAAAAATTAATTTGGAAACTTACATCAAGAAAAGTAATATAGACAATCATCAAGTTATATATACCTTCAGTAGAAGAATTTGTCACATTTTTGATTTATTATTCCTTTCAATTCCTTGCATTTTATTTTAATCTAATTTATTTTATTTATTGCTGTATGTAATCAGCTAGTAAGGTTTAAGTTTCGTTTCCTGAAGTGTGTAACTCTTTAATATTGAGTTTATTTATTTTTTCCCCAACAGTACTTCAGCCTCGTGATCTTCATGTTCCTTGTGGAGTTCCTGTTTGCAACATTGGCCTTTGTATTCAGAGAAATCCTTGGAAATACATTAAAGCAAGAATTGTTAACAGGAATCACAAAACATTATGAGAATGACTCTTCCAACAGCTTGTACAAGACGTGGTCTCATATCCATCATGAGGTTATTATATAAAATAATTAATAATGAATACATTATGAAATAAAATATGTTGATAGCAGAATACTTGAATGTTCATTGTGTTTGATACTTTTCAGTTCCATTGTTGTGGTGTTAAGGATTATCAAGATTGGTACTATATTTCTGCTTGGCCAGAAATGAGATATGTGCCAAGTTCCTGCTGCATTCCAAACATGACAAATATTACAGGTCCTTAATTATTTTCATGAATATCCTTGGATATGTGTTTTTATGTCAAATTGTGGGGAAAAAATCATTTTGTGATCTTTTTTTTTTTTTCTTTTCTTTTTTCTTTTAGGTTGTGGAATGAATGATCCCCCAGATATAGATATCATTTACACACAAGGATGTGCTGAGCAAGTCCAGATGTGGTTTGTGGAAAGACTTCACATCATTGGAATCATTGGCCTTGTTATAGCATTTATTCAGGTACATTTCTTCTGATCTTAATGTACTTAGTTGTTTTTGTGTGTTTTTTCATTAAAAAAATCAATATTGCTCGTCTTCTTAAAACGTATTTTGTTCTGTTTTCAATGTTATTTTGCAAAATATAAATTTGCATATTCCTCTAGTTCATTGTTTTAAGAAAATGAATTACACCAACAAATAAACAAAAATATTAATTTAAAAAAATTCAAATTTTCCCTCATCAATAAATAAGGTTTCTTAATGTGAATGTAGGTTCTAAAATTCTAATCCAAGAAATATTATTTCAAGACAATAGACCAATATCTAAGATTTCAGACCTATTATCTGAAAAAACAAATCAATTTGACCTATAGAAATCGAATAATTGCACTTTAAGTACACCAGCAGTTGCCTGCAGCCAAAAATAATGCTTCTTGACAAAATCACACAAAATGGTTTTCCAAAAAGTAGCGGGAATACTGCTCAAGAACAACGAATAAAATAATTTCATATAACACTGCAATAAATTAAATATTTCAACAAAAACAGCCTTCATGAATACTCCCATAACATTATAGAGAATTCTTGGACACACAGTACAAACAGTTCTTTCTGAGCCAAGAAAATAAAAAAAAAGATGCTGTTGCATAAGTATAACAGAAATAGCAAATTTTTAGTGGCAGGCAGCCTCTTCCTGAGTGCCTTATTGTCAGATGACATCAGCCTTATTTTAATCAGTGTCTCACTGAGTACGAGATTGGGCAGAATTACACAATCAAATACATTCATTTTTCGGTCAAAATAGAAATTGTTTCATTGTTTATGGGTTTTTGCCATGGTCCTGGTATTTAATGAAATCATAAACACCTCTGGCATAGCCAAAGGCTATATAGTTTTCTTTCAATTTGTATGTGCATTAGAAATTAGTAAAATAGATCATCTGAATGTGTTAATCTTTGTTTCAGCTGTTTGGACTGATTTCATCAATGTTACTGTTCTGCACAGTCCGGCACAAGAGAAGCTCACATGCTTACAAGGCATACAACCCAAACTCATGATGCACTAGTTAAGTTACTCCAACTTGTGTGTAGGTCTCAACAATAAGTGCATCAATTCCATTTTTTGACTATTCAGAGTCTAACCAATGATAAATTGTACAAATTTATTACCTTGTGTTTTGTTACTTTTATAATGAGAGATCTATGACATTGAGTGAATAAGTGTGGAGTATTGTTATAACTGCCTCTTCTGAATTTAGGAGGTAAGGAGGTTGTTACAGGCAGTGGGACCGACACTGTCTAGTTAATTGAATTTTTATAAGATCTGGTGGAACATTCTTTTGAGATGTTCTTATTATTTCCAAGAGTAAGATGGATACAAATTTGTGATTCCTTTCTGATGCTGTGGTTTTTCATATCTCATATGTAACAATATTCATTTATGTAAAATGCTGTGTTCCTAACAGTAATTATCTCTCCATGAAGCAAGTCTGTAATCCACTGGCTTCAGTAGCCAATATTTTCCATTATATTTATGCCCATTTGTAAATAAACTATATTGATAAATAAAATGGATGCTTACATTTTAAAATACTTCTTAATGTTATTAATATTGTATTGTTAAGTTTGCTTTTTTATATATACTTTCAATTTTCCCTATTGAAAGAAAATTCATACCAGTATTTCCTTTTATTTTTGTTTTTTGTTTTTTGGCTATTCAATTAATTCAGAATGGTGCATAATCCAATTCAGTTATGTTGCAAATTGAAATTCTTCGATAATATTACTTATTGAAGCAAACTCGTTATTAACTTATATTAGATCTAGATCCTTATAAATCTAACATCCTTCAAGATCATCATCATCTTCACTATTGTTGTTATCAGTGCTCGAATCATATACATTCTCTGTCTCAGATTCTGATGACCTACAATTCTTTAAAAATGTCCTATAAAATGACTTAAATAAAAATAAAATGAAAATAAGTATGAAAAATTTGTACGAATATGTTTATTTATTTAATGAATTTTACAATGTTAAACAAAATTTATTTATATAAACTATATTTAATATAATTTTTTTTAATATAGGAAAAAATATACTCCTTAGTTTTGATTTTCCAACTGTCAGTTTTGAAAGGTAGAGGAAGTTACTGAAGATCAGTTTAATTTTGAGAGTTCAAAAAACAGAGCCCACGGCAGTAGTGAATTTTGTCATGAATAGATGATACAATAAAAACTTTGTTTTAGTATCATGTAAATTCATGTTGTAAATGTTGTAAATTAATGAAACAGTCACTAGCAAAAAACACCAAAAGGAAACAAAAAGTGTAAAAATGACAAAAAGGACATAAAGGTCAAGAAAAAGTACCTAAAAGTTGAAAAATGTCAAGAATGACTCAATTACTATACAATTCTAACACCTATAAGTCGTGATAAACATTCATATACAAGTTAGAGTGCACCAATAAAAAAATGACATGTCATCAGAATCCGAGCCCTGGTTATTATAATTAATATGTTTAAAAAAGTAGACAGAAGGAATGGGTGGGGAAGATGAAGCGTCAATTGCCAGAAGCAAGAAACGCAGCTTAGAAATGCAGCCAAGTTGACAGTTTTATCTGACCTGTGGCAAGGCCAGGTTAGGTCGCCCACACCACCCTCCCTTGGCACCCAGTTGTTAAATGACTCAGGGTCCCTAGAAAATTGCATGGAAGACATTGCACGTTTCATACTTTTCACCCAGTGTGGGGGCAGATAGGAAATCAATGAAAAAAATCATATCTTTGGAACTGTTTGAAATAAATTTATGGTAAAACAAAAGCGATATAGTCCCATGGGTATTATCTACAAGATATTTAAATTTCATGTTGATAGATTCATTTGTTTTATAGTTAAATCAGTTTTTACAGAGGAACTGACAGACAATTGATTTGAGATGTGATTTGCTTTAGTAGTTGAATAAGCAAGTTGAAAAATTTCTAAAAAACTGAAAATTTGAAAATAACAAACGTACTTCAGATTTATTTATCTGTATTGATGATGCCTAGTAAAATATGCCATATGTAAATAAAAGAACTTTATTGGAAAAGAAGGCCCGGAATTACTCTAGGGTCCTCTGTGGTTTTAGAAATGCACACATTTATGAAAATAACATTTGTACCAGTATTAATATTAACATCGGCGAAAATGCCAAAATTTTCAACAAAATATTTTTATGATTTTTTATCGTTTTAAGGTAAATTGACTGTACATTCATCACATTTAATGAATTTTGGTGAAATGGGATTTTGAGATTATTGTTTTTACATTAAAGTCATTATTTTCTTTTTAGGTAGAGCAGGGGTTAAGGAGGGAGAAATTATAACAACCACATAAGGGAGAATTTTTACCTAACCATGGAACATGTCCCCAGAACATGCTACCAGAACCTGTCTTATTCCATACAACTTTTAATTGACGACGACGACGGCTGCGGCTGCGGCGGCGGCGGCGGCGACGACGACGACGACGACGACGACGACGACGAACGACGAACGACAACGAACGACGACGGACGACGACGGACGACGACGGACGACGAGGACGACGTCGTCGTTGTCGACGACGACGATTCTGCTCATCTCTAGGTGAACCAGAGAGAGAGATTTAAGAAATTTAGTGTTATCACTACAGTACTACTATCTAGTACCAGCCTGCATGAACATTGCACTCTATGCTAATTTAATACCAACTGCCCTTAGTTTTCAGATACCCTCTAGTGTTACTTTTGTTGTTTACTTTGTATTTTACTTTGTTTATACATTTACTCTTATTTTAGTTTATACACTTACATTTACTTTAGTATATATTTAAATGTTTGTTTAGTGTATATATATATATATATATATATATATATATATATATATATATATATATATATATATATATATAAATAATGTAGTGAATAAATTATCCAATTAGCTATTTAACAGGGGCAACAATAAATGAATTGAGAAACTGGAATGGAAGTATGTCCTACATGTAAAAAAGTGAATTATGTTACCCAAACATTCAAACAATATCCATAACCAAACTGATTTAAAATATAACATAGTCTTTACTAACAACTATCAGAAATCTTTTTAACTAACCACAAGCCATAAATAATGCTCCAAAATACATGCTGAAAATAAAAATGATATTGTATAAAACAATAAAAACTAGAAAATCCTTCACAGTGAACATTTTTCTGCTTCTCAATAGAACATATCATTATATTTCTACTATGATAAATTAAAATTAGCTACCATTTAAAGCCAAGATATATGTGCAAAAAAAATGTATTATATATAAACAAATAATACAAAGATGTATGAGTAACATCATGTTTTCCGCACGGTCAGCGGCGTCCTTTGGCAGTGCGCCAAGACCTCAGGAATAAGGCCTGAACAAGCAGCGCAGCCAGGAGGGGCGGGGTGACCCCACCGTGTCTAGTCTTACCATACATGGTGGGACCGTAAGCACTCTGCACTCTGCATTCAGCGCCTACGTTCGGCAGACGTATGATTGCAATACACAATTAGTATATTATATCATTTCCACTAAAGAGATATTTGAATATTAGATACATGTAAATAATTCTCCAAGATAGTAATTCTCTAAAATGTATTTTTATAATACTTACTTTCTGACACCAAAAACAAAGAAACCAACAAACAAAAACACTTTTATTTTATATGATTAGCCACATATAAATAATGTCTAATAAGTTCAATGCTAACAAATAAAATTATAAATGTAAATTCACATCAGAACTTTTTGTGCAGTAGATCATTTGCTACAAAACAACATCACCAACAAATTTTAAAAAATATACATTTAAATTTGCTACACATATCACGTGAATGTTCCAATATCTATATCTGTAGTGGAAAGCAAATGATGGTACAAGAAGGGATAAACTTGTATAAAATTCATTTCAATTTTCTTTTTACGTAAATGAGGCAAAGAGAATTTAAATATTTTCTAAGCAGCATCTCTTCAGATATTAATATAAACTTAAAAACTTATACAGGAAGACACATTTAAAGACTTGTACAATGATTTTTCAATATTAAATAAAAAAGTGTTAACTTTACCCCTAAGAATTTTTTTACTTCTCAACACTTCATGAAATAAACAATAAGTTGAATAATAAACTGGGAGAGAAAGAAAGTTACTGAAAAATATTTTACATAATTAAAATTAAATAATCGAAGTGACTTCAAACACCTCAACAGACCCCCTCCTATCCTTAAAATTGAGAAAGACCTAAAAGTAATTAATTATGCAAATATTATTATACAAAGAAAATCTGCACAAAATAATTTTATATTATTAATTTAACTAATTACATCCTGTCCTCCAGTGTATCGACAGATACCCTTCTCCCATTTATATAAGCCAGGAATATATAGAGCATGGAATGTCATCTTTCTAAATCAGGATAAAAATAAAAAATAAACACTTTACTTAAAGAAATTAACTAAATATATACTGTGCCTCTAAAAATAACAACCGCCTGCAAACTAAAAAATAAATGTAATGGTCAGAAAGAAAATGCATTTTCCAATTACACAATTGAAATAAAAATAACAATAAGTTCTATCAATCAATCAATATAAAAAAGTTCCTATAAATTATTCTTCATATTGGAAAAAGCTAATAACAGACTATAGATACCCTCAAATATTTCAAGTCTCTCTTATATCCTGCATATTGTTAAAATCCTAAAACAAAAGACACAGTGCCAAAATGTAAGCAAGATGTAAATTATGGTACATAATATTAAACAATAAAATTAATAAATCTCTGGCTAGTCCCAAATGGTAACACCTGTCTTCTTTTGATTCAAAAAGTTTGTGAACCTGAAATTAAATTCTATCTAATAAATAATGTAGGTAGAAATTACTGTAAATAATTCTACATATTACATTTAACCTATCTCTAACTGTGCCCACATTGTTACCAACAGTCCTTCGGTATATGTGCAAAATGTTAAGAACTTGGAATTAAACATGCGAACCTCAACCTCAAAGGTTTCAACAGTTTTCCTCCTATCCTGCAAGATCCAGGATATAAACATGCAATTCTATTAATCAATCCAGATAGGAATTGCTATTTATAATTTAACATTTTGGGGTAAACGAATCACGGACTGTGCCATCATAGGTTTCAACAGTCTTTCTGATATCCTACATATTGCAAATATCCTACAACAAAAGTACGATGCCTATATTTAATCAAGATATAAATTACGGTAAATGATATTATACTATACAATCATTTATCTGCAGTGCTCTCAAAAGATATAAAATGTCTTCTCATCCATAAAAACATTATGAATCTCTAATTGATTTCACAGACCTAACCATTAATTTAGGTAGAAATTGCTGTGATTAATTGTACATACTTAAGTTAACTTACCACAGACTGTGCCCACAAAGGTACCTACAGTCTTTTTCATTTTCCACAATATATCAAGATCCTGGCCTTAAGTATGCATTAAGCTGTTGCTATGCATTAAGCTATTCTATTAATCGAGCGGAATAGAAATTAATGTAAATAATTTTACATATCTGAATAAATTAATCACAAACTCTGCATTCGAATCATCAGTCCTTATTCTATCATACAAAATATTCAGACCTTGGATTTATATACACTTCTTTTTATTCATTGACATAGAAATTATTACAAATAATTTTACGTATTTGAGGAATCTCATTACAGATTGTGCTCTCAAAGGTATCAACAGTCGTCCACCCATTCTACAATATGTTAAGATCCTGGATATAAATATGCAGTTTTATTAATCCATCCATATAGGAATTACTGTGAATAATTTTACATGTTTTAGTAAATAAATCACAGACAGTATCCTCATAGGTTTGGATTTGGATTTATTTAGTCAAAAAACAGTAAAAAATGTATGTGGCGAATGGGTGAGATCATCTGCGCATGTTTCTTGAGTTCCAGAATCCC